TCAAAAACTGAAATGTCTACCAAGCCCGCAAGAGGGAAATACATAAAACAGAAGGCAAATAAAATAAAAAATAAATATGTCATTGTATAAACCTCATTGTTGTCCTAAAGCAAGGTCATTAAAATCTAAATGAATACAGAAGGCGAGGGTTAGGGTGGTGGTTATTACATCTCAAAGACAGGCTCTCTACAGTGAACCTGAGTAACCAAAACAGGGAGCTTGTGCATCCTGATCAAGAGAACTCAATTTCAATCTATTGTTTTATGATGCAATACATAGGCCAAGTGAAAGCCCAGTGGAATTTGGAACAACTTAAGTAAGTTAATTTAGGTTTACCACAATGCTGGAAAAGGGAGCAATATATTAAAAATAATATAATGACATAAACCTGAATATTATTGCTGAGGATCAACTGTTGTGTATTGATACTTTACAGTGACATCATATTGGGGGGGATTCTACATGTAGCATGTCTCTAATGGCGATACCTTCAGCAGTTACCATGGTGATACAACACACACATTAGCAATCACAGACAAAAAAGATTTAAGATTATTTGGGGGGGAAAAGAAAGAAAGACAAAGACAAAATGGATTTAAACAACATATTTTCAACATTTGTTGTTGGCTAATGTTGGCTAATGTTATTTTTATGTAACAAATCAGATCACCCGTTGTAGTTCCAGCTAAATCAGTCATACTGTGTTAAAAGCTCAGATTAGGGTCTAACAGAGCTTCACACAGAACAGTGCTTACGGTTAACTTCACACCCTCAGTGAAACCACCCCCAAACTTAACGGTAACACTGATGATTGATTATTTATGCACATTAACTTCATCTTTCAATTGTTTGTATGATCTCATGTTAAGGACATTTAAAATTAAACTTAAAGTCTACATATAATTACAGTGTCAACCAGGAACTTAGCCTGAAGCATGTTTATAATTTACTTGTTACCTCAGAAAATCCCTATAAATATGTCTCAAAGTGTTTGAGTAATTATCCCAGATGCTAAAGTCTAATTAAAAAGTAACACCTGATTATTATGAAGGCGTAGCTCTAACACGTCTCTACGTGCCTATACTATATCTGTCACAGCATTCACCTGAAGGTAGGGCGGGGCTCTTCCTATACATTACAACATTCTTAACAACACATGTACATTATTGGGTTTAGACACTCCCAAAAATACTGGTATTTCTAGGAGGACAGTCTTTCTGTACATTTTGTTCAGGTCATAGTAAAACCAACAAGAGAGTGCACACTATCCAATAACAGTTTTTTGCAAAATTTTTACTTTTTACTTACTTTTACTTTACTTTATTTACTTACTTACTCAGACTCTACATTACTCATATTTATTTTTTTCTGATCTGTGTTATAATGTTGATTTCTTATCACAAACATACATTTTGGGCTTTGGAGATGTAAACAAGCTAATAATAAAGGATTACTCAAATATATGTGAATTAAACAAAACTAACTAATGTTTTTGGATAGATATCAACACTATAACATGGCTTAAAGCTCACGAGAGTCAATTTTGCATTATATAGGACCTTTAAGCCTAATGGTGTCCAAGTAATTTCCCTTGTGGATCAGTGATGTTTGCCTTTATCTGTTGCACTTTAAAGTGAGAAAATGAATCGTATTAAATGTTCAAATTATCCTCTCAAAACATTGCACAGTTTGACAGATCTGTATGTCTATAATCTCTGTGCCTGGAGCAGTTCTGCTTAAATGTGTAAATCTTTCTTCATGTGGCAGTTCATTTGACTCTCACTGTTACCCTGAAGACAGAGGGCATACTTGTGTTTTAATGATACTTTCAGCACAAAACATAATAGGATTTGGATAGTGAAATGGATAAGGTATAGTTTTACAATGTATCGAAAACAGTATTGAAGATAACTGCCCAATGTGATAGATTATAACAATATGACAGCAATCACAATACTTAATATGTGACCCAAAATTCAAGTAGCCCTATAGCTTCATATTATTTTATTGTGATATTCAACTTGTCCCCATTTTGTTTGAGAAATCACACTATTTTGAGCTCATGTTACATTATCAGAATCACAACAATGAGCTTGCGTCAGTGGTAAAATAATAAGTAAGACTAGTCAAATATAATCTATGGTAAAATAAAGGCATGCTTTAAAGTAAGATGTTAAATTGACGTATACACAACTCTATTCATAACATAGACGTTTACCATGACTATCAAGAGAGATCAGCAGCAGAGCGGTCAGAACTACACATATGATCATAAAGTTAAAGACCAGCATCATATAGTCTCTCAAACCTCACAGTGGTTGACGTCTGTGTGGTGGAGGTGAGTCAGTTGTGCTCCTGGAGTAGTGGCAGCCCTCCCTGTTCATCTGTGTACAAGCCCCTCCACTTCACTGCGATTCCACTATAGTAGCATTTCAATCATTCAAATGAGGCCTAATCACAGCCACAGGCACCAGGACTATGAGGGGGGGCGGCGCGTCACTCTCACACTCGAGAACACTTAATACATTGATTTATTTTTTTTTTTTTTAATGCTGCAAAAGAAAAAGAAAATCACAACACAGGGGGTGCATACAAACTGTATCTCAAATGCGCATTGTGTAAATTTTCTGGCAGAGGGTCCATCACTCTTCGTAGAAACCGTCTGACCTCGCAGCGTTAGGATTTATTCGCTCAACAGTAGGTACTTTTTTTCATTTAACCAATCGCTGCTATTTGGTCGTGACATATGTAATGTGCTGCTAACAGGCTAACTGGTATATTAAGCTTTTCCCAAATCTCGTAGGAAGAAGGGCAATAACGTCTTTCCCCTTGATAAAATTCACCGAACATTCTCTTTGTTATGGAATAGTTGCCAGCACCGGAATGTGTGGCTCTTCGCTGATTGACTAATGTCCAAACTCGCACTTCTGGGGTTTTTGTGAACCGTCTAGTGTATTCTGATTCCTGACCTAGTCACTGGAGAGAAATGAAATTGAGCAGAGGCACTAGGTGGCTCTAGGTGGCGCCAGCCTGGTTTACTTGTCATTGTCATTGCTTTGCTTTGAATGCTCCACAGTATGAGATTAAATAACTCTACCTTACATTTATTTCATTTTATAGTTTTGTAGTTCAAAAATACCTATAAAAACAGGCATAGTGACTGTGAAAGGGGGTGCCACTCCACAACAATATCTCTATGAAAACAAATAAGTGGTGCACCTAAGTTACATAGTGCACGTTTAAATAAAAGAATCTGGAGAACTTTTGAATCAATAAATCTTAATGACGTTTATTTGTATAGTCATTTACACACTTGCTTAACATAATGTCTATCATCTTAACTTCTGCGGTCAGAGTGAGGGCAAGTACGAACAAGGTCCAGTGCAGTTGCATGCTGAGATGACAGTTAGCAGTGAGCTCTCTGATACAAACTCATATTTCAAACAGGGTTAGATCACTGAGATTAAATGTTCTGATATGTTGATTCATAAAGCAAATTAGTATCTTCACAGGTCTGACTTGCATCTTGGTCTGGTTTGATGTCCATGAAGATAGAAAGATTTAATATCATACTGTGAAACATTCCAGACAAGGCAATGACATCTCCATGAAGAAATTTGCTGTGAAGCATGTATCATCCTGGAACAATTTGTCATCCAAACTTTTGTAGTGGTCTTTAGCCGAAGATGTGCATGAATGAATAAATAATGCGTGGGTAATAGGTTAACAGACTTCTTTCCTTTTTGGGTGCTTATCTAGAAAAGTAGAAAAAGAGGAGCATGGTGAAAGTGGTGGGATATGGAAAGACCGATTCAGGAAATAGCTTGTAGATAATAACTGCAATCACCATATGAAAACTGCAATGACTGTGCAATCAAAACTGCACATAGGCTTGGGAATGTGCAATTATTAATAGAACACAAGAATACAAAGGGCTTGCCTGTTAAGAATAATTTAAAGTGGTCATACTTGGTCTCGTATCTATTTTTGGTGTTTGTTTACGTGGTGCTTTGTGCTGTGTTGTTCTGAGACAATAAAGGATTATCTTATCTTATATAATTTCTAGTTTTAATCAACACACACGCACACACACACAGGAATAGCAAGAATCTGTGAATGTTTATTTATACATACATTTAATCTAATTTAATTTTATAAGTAGAATCAATTAAAAAAAAGAGGATAATTCTGTAAATAAGTGGATAATGAATGGACAGGTTACACTATACAATACTATAACGGTTTACAGTAGCAGTAGCAGATCAATATATTCTTACACTGTTATTAATAAGGGCTATTGTAAAGAATGAAGGGCTGCTGTGACTGGTTTCTTAAAACAGTTTTGAGGTCCGCTTAACAAACACTGCCCTCTACTGGCTATGTCACTATAGAAGAACAAACTTGTCTGTAGTTTTACGGTTATGTGTTCTCATGCAACTCATCAGTCCAAAAGTAATTGACAGGGTTAGTAATGTGAGGTCACGTGATACAGACTATAGTTAGGCTCAGTGGAAAATGTTTCGTGGTACAGGAAGCTTGTGGCGCGTGTCTGTGTAGGTGTGTGATGCGACTGAAGCATGCAAGGCCAGTTTAGAGGTAAGCCTGCCCACCTTTCACTGCTCACTGTGTATTTTATTTGTGAACCTGCTAACATCCTTAATGAAGGCTGCTAATGAGGATATTGATAAACCCTTGAAACGTGACACGGCAAACACATGCAAACTTTACTCATGTTCATTTTTAGTACATTACCTTATGCCGTACGTTTCATCAAAATGTTTCACCTGTAAACTATTTTGACTACAGTAGGCCTTAGTACTGACCCAATGTGCATGTGAGTCACTGAAGGATTTTTTTTTTCTGAGCTGCACAATACTGCAGTTGTAGCATGAGTGCACAAGATGGCAGTGTTCCCTCTCAAGTGGCACTAACTCAAAAAATTACAAAAAGGGCAGCATTGAAATCATGTATATTTTAATCTTAGAATATTTGTAGGTAATCATATTCACTCCAATATAATGAGAAAATGTTAGATATATTTTAAACACTGTTCATGGTTTCCTCAATCCATTTTTTATGGTTTGGAACCTTAGAAAATAAATGCAAGATCTCGTCTATTTTTCCTGACACCACTCCATAGACTTTTTCGTCACACACCAGGGGGCCGCCAGAGTCTCCCTGCAAAAATACACCAGCCAGTGATTGAACTTCTGTTTTTTGTTTATTTGATCCATTATTTGGCATTACCTTCCCAACTCCATGTTTGCCCTCACAGCAGTAGAAGTAGCTATCTGACTCCTGATCTCCACAGGATCCCAGAGTGACATTCACCTCCATGAGAACAGTGGTCATCCTTGGTCCAGAACCTTCAGAGCAGCCCCACCCTGCCACACTGCACACCGTCGGGTTTGCATCTTCTGGCCCAGCCATAGCAATATCCGACACATAAGTGTTGATCTCTGCTTTTGCATTTAACTTTGTTTTGGAGAGAAAATTCACAATTTTAAACAATTTTTAATCAGCTGAAATAAATGAAAGAAAATTCAAAATTTTATACCTGGAGTAACAGTATGTCATTTTTCAAGGTATTTTTATCATATTCTTTATTAGGAAATGCCTGCTTCACAGAAATATTCTGTGTATTGACTGGCTTGTTGATGTCATGCACTCCTAAAATTACATTGTAGGAGCTATAATAAGAAAAAAAATAATCATTATTGTCACAAAAATTCAAAGTTATCATCCTCTATGTGTGATTGACATAGACCTGGCATGGCAGTGGGCAGCAGTCAACACAAAGTCATCCCTCAGAAGAATGCCACCGCAGTATTTTTTTCCACTGGGTGTGTTCCTCTCCACTAGAGCCATGTACGGTCTGCTGTGGGGCTTGGCCTTTTTGCCTCCAATGATTCTCCCTGCATACACTGCATCTGCCATCACACGGAGGAGGAAAGTTAGGAATGAGACCATCTTGTTTTTATTTTTGATAAGGGATCAGAAAGTGTTTGCATTTTATAATCCAAAATCCATGTTTAATCTAGATCTCTAGTAGGATGTAGCACATAGACAAAACACTTTTAAACAGATCCAAATCCAAAAAACCTAAATTTTGCATCATCATGAGCCAATTGAGAAAAATAAAACTTAAAGGAGCTTTTTTGGTTTGAGGACACTGCCAGTTTATATCCAGTTATTACTAGAGAGGAGACCCCACACAGTACAAAAGCATATTTATCAAGGTATTTGTGGGCAATAAAACACCTATCACTGAATAAATGCAAGATAGATAGATGTTTTAGCAATATTCTAGTTAAAACAATATCTCCATGGAGACAAGCAAGTGGTGCACCTAAGTTACATAGTGCACCTTTAAATAAAAGACTCTGAAGAACTTCTGAATCAATAAATCTTACTGTTGTTTATTTGTGTAGTCATTTACACACTTGCTTAACATGTTAACATAATGTCTATGATCTTACCTTGTGCAGTCAGAGTGAGGGCGAGTACGAGCAAGGTCCAGCACAGTTGCATGTTGAGATGACAGTTTAGCAGTGAGCTCTCTGACACAAACTCTTATACTTTAAACTGGGTTAGATCACCGAGATTAAATGTTCTGCTGATTCTGAATGCTGATTAGTAGAATTAGCAAATTAGTATCTCCATCATGCATTAACTTCCTGCCTATTTGTACAGAAGAATGCATTAACATGTAGAGCCAATAGTGTATTTATACAGTTTATAGTGTGCATTTACAATGTTGGACTTACAACTAACATTTGCATGTGAATATTGTGATTTCTCCATCTAATTTCCTTGCCTTGCTATCTTTTCGTGTTTGCACTGATGATAGTGGAGCAGGATGTGCAGGATGTACATTCACTCTAACAACTTTCCAACCACAGAGCATCTATCAATATTGATCACTGCAGTTTATTTAGTTCCACCAATGGGCCTATGCACCATGATAAATGCTTTAAGCACTTTCAAGATGAATATAACCTTTCAGGCGCTTGTCTCAATGGAGATGTTATTGCTTTGCCTGAATTTTCCACAGTATGGCATTAAATGTATTTGTCATGTTTCAGACATGTTTTTCTTGCTCAAAACTCCCTTGAAAAACATGCAAGCTTGCCTCCCCATGGATATAAAGCAATCAATTCTGCGTGGAGACAACCAGATGGCAGACCTTCCACCAGAAGTGCACCTGTAACATTCATTAAATTCATCAATCATACTATCTATTGACAATTTTACCTGTTGGGTGAATGTTGGTTGTGTATCGTTTTGTGTTTGCTGCAAGTTTTCACTACAGCCACAAGGAGGCAGCATTGTCTTTCAGTATGTCTGTGAAGAGGCCTAAACTGAAGAATACTCTGGCTTTGGCTAATTTGTTTATTTTACTAGACTGGACGAGTTAATTGACATACACGACAACAGCTTTAAGGCAAACATTCTGGATGAAGACTATGTATGTATATATATGCATAGGCTCCATCTATAGCCTCATCTCGAAAACCTTCAATGAATAGTTTGATAAAGTACCTGTTTCTGTCATGTCTAAAGGATAGCGAAGGAGTGAGGCTGTTGTACAAAGAAGTTTTTCACTGCTCTTAATCACTCTAACCCTAACCCTTATGTGAAACGGTCAGAAAATGAGCATTTGGCTTGGAGCATTTGACTTGGGGCTAGCTGTCACATCTGACTCTGTTACCTTTTCAAATGTGTTTCCTTTATAACAGAACAGGATGTCTTATCATTTGCCTTTCTCAGCTATTTTAACAGCTGAGCGTGAGCTATGTCAGAGCTCTCAACTAAAACCTGCTTCTTAATATGCACATAAGAGAGTGTTATTTTAATATTATTGAAAAGTACACATTTACATCACAAAAGCGTAGTAATATTTTGAGACTAGGATCATTTGGTAGTGTGTGTGCTTGTCTTGCAGAAAGAAAGCTCTATGATTCTTTCCCATTGTACATATCAGTGGATGTTACTCGCAGTATTCCTTAGTTTTAGATTCTTCTTTGTCATATTGAGGATTTTTCAATTTCACCTGCCTGACCAGACAGTTCATGTCTTAGTAAAGTATTGTAAAATTGTGTGGTTTTGGCTGAGTAGGGACATTTTTCACCATTCAAGAGATATCATATTTTGCCATTTTTATGTCTTTTTATTAGGGCTGGGCAAAAATTTAAAAAAATTGAATCGCGATTAATCGCATGAGTTCGAGCGATTAATCGCAATTAACCGCATGTTATACACAAAACCAATTAATTAATTAAAAAGTAGAGTATAGCGCTCTTTTATTGGAAATGTAAATGAAAGAGCCATACATTTGTTGTGCAAACAGCATTTCTTTCACAGGGGAACCATCAGAGCCTTCAAGGTATTCTGAAGGCTCAAGAAAAAATATTGAATGGACGTTTGTACTACTAATATATTTATTGAATATTTTTTATGTTGTGTGTAATGAACACTACACTAGTAATAATTTCTAGATCAGTGTTATAAACTTGGACTGATATTTCTTAGGAAACAAAGGGTTAATATAATGGAATGGAAATGGACCAATCACATTTTTTCTTCCAATGGTATCTGGGTAAATCAGTGACTCCAACACTGAACTAAAGAAATAAGCTCAGCTCAGAGCCGGTGCCCGCGGCCGAGTCCGCGGCCGGAGTCAGAGTCCTGCGGCCGGAGCCCGCGGCCGGGCCCGCGGCTCGCGGAGGCTCGGGCACGTTGCATCTCACGTGGTCAGAAAAAAGTGAAAAAAGTGTCAAGAAAAGACGTCAAACTTAAAGAAACGCTCGCGGTGGACTTTTTCAAAATAAAAGCCAATGAGAAACAGACTTTTACAACAAAATAAATAAATAAATAATAAAAAACTGCGTTAACGGCGTTAAAATAATTGTCGGCGTTAATGACTTAATTAGTTAACGCAAAGTTAACGCGTTAACGTGCCCAGCCCTACATTTTATTAATTGCTATGGCAACAGTGTTAAATTCCAATCACTTTGAAACCCAGAGCCACAAGAAGTAATTTATTATAAGAATACATAAAAATGTATGAAAACATTGCAATAAAGTAATTTTAAAAAGCCACATATTGGGATATTTTGGATCCATTTATGTCAAAGAGCCCTTCAAAAAACTCTTTTACTATTATTTTTACTATTTATATGACAAAAGACAATGCGAGAACTTATTTTAACAACAACTAATCATAGAGAGGAATGACCAAGAAGATTGGTTTACAATGGTTCAAACTGAGAGTGCGAGTGTGTATACCCTTTGAAATGGTGCATAACTTTAATGAAACATTACACTACAATAATAATGATTTTAAAAACTAACTCTTATTAAGATGCCAAATATGTGTTTTGTTGTGCACAAAGCTCTCAGTCGTGTTACCTGCTTTGCTTCTGTGCTGATTCTTGTTTTGGTTCAGTGTTCATCAGTGTTAAAATAAAATAAAAAAATTGAAAGAAAAAGATTTGGTTCTTTAAAAAAAAAAAAAAATTGATACAGATCCAACAGCTTCAGGAACAGCTGCAGTTTAAGACCATGAGATTGTGGCACATCTGGCCGTAAACACAGTCGGTCAGAAGAAGTCAGTCAATTTTCTTTTTTCCCAAATGACTCACCAACCTGTCAATCAAAATTGCTGTTTATTATTAGCCGTTTGGTCCACCCCATTGAACATTAGGCCCTGAAATCTTGCTTGCCACACTCCCAGGAGTCTCCTTCTGCTCCAAAAGAAATATTATACTGATGTTATCACCTCATAAGACACTAAATAAAAGGAGGATTTACATACAGAAGTCATTCATCAAACATATTTGTAGGCTTATAATTTAGTTTTACAAATTCAAAAGAGCCCAGAGTGTAGAGGCTATAGTATAACTTCGTGTGTTGTCCTGCCCAGAGGTATGCAGGGGACTGACCACACGATCTGTTAGATCACTTCCTCTGTCTAGACTCAAGTATGAACCCTCAACTTTATTGTAATTGTTTTCAATGTTTCACAATCAAATTTTTATGTGTCGAAAAAGAGAGAAAAACAGTCGACGAGAATCAAAGGCTGTAATGAGAATCACAGGTGGTTCTGGTCAGTGTAAGGACTTCTTTGTAGTCATGGGATGCTATAATAAGTACTAATTAAGGAAATGGCAGAATACAGTATGTAAAGAATTTGCATATTGATTGATTGTTTTGTTTTTTTTTCAGATGCCAGCTCTGTTTTGTTTTGGGGGTTTTTCTCGTGTCTAGGACTGAGTGTGCTGACTTTGATCCCTCTTGAGATATTGATAGATTTAGACTGAAGATATTAACAGAAGCATGCTACGTGACATTTGAAAGTATATATTTTTAGAAATTTGTGGTAGAATAAAGAAAGGTTTTAGGCTTTGCACAAATGATGATGAGAAAGCACAGTAGTACACCTGTGATTTCAATAAGCCTTGTGTTTCTCTTTTTAACTGTTTATCTACAATTAAAACGTCATTTGGTCTGTTCACTTTGGCGCTGAAGACAATGAAAACAGCCACACAGACTCACTGTGGAACTATTATACATTAGAGACAGTTAAGTTTACGGCATAAATTTTAAAGCTGCAGAGGTCTTGGCAGCATGGTACTGTGACTTTTCAGACCACATTTCCCTAAAAGCATCTGACTTCTGTGGTGAAACAATAATAGCAAAAGAAGGTCAGTCTTTAAAGGTGCACTGTGTAACTTTTCTGGTAGAGGGCCCGTTGCTTTACCTCCAATATTAGTATGGCATTTTTCAGTCGTCATAGAAAGAAGTAGGAGACTCCACCAGGCCAGTTGCCACCAGTAGATCTGTGAAAAGGTGTCCCCACTCACATTAAGAATGAAGTTTTTAAATGTCTTTTTGAGCAAATAAATACATCTAATATAAGTTTAATACCATATTGTGGAACATTACAGGCAAAGCAATAGCATATCCATGGTAGTGAATCCCCAACCTGAAATATTATGCAGTGCACCTTTAAAGTTAAAAAAAATAAAATAAAATTACAAGACTCCACATACTAGGAAACTTTTGGCCTAAATTTATCATTCAAAAAAAAAAAAAAGACCTGAAGCTGAACTCTGTAGTATCTGATTGCAACACGTTCATGTAAGCACATGTAATACTTATCCACCTATCAATCAAAAAAAGAAACTTTACTTTTTTGCTTCTACAACTCACATGTTTATGTTATAAATGAGCACAAAATAGACAAATGTTTTGCATATAAAACATTGGATTCCATGGCAACACAGCACTAACTTCTTTAGATCAACATGTAGATAAAAGCTTTCCGTCAACCTTTCCTCCAAAATACAATCCACTACAAAGCCAGCCACTCCACATGCACACTCCATGTTTTTTATTCATTTCTCCTTCTCCTAACCTCAGCTGACTTGTATTATTTCTGTTATGGCTGCACTTTTCATTGTATACAGCTCCAGATCCAGCCAGCACACTTACAAGCAAAGACCCAAGAACAATATTCACCCTTAAAAAGAAC